GACAAGGATCAGAATCCTTGTAGGTGAGCGTACACTTTGTCTTCAAGCGATCCTCCGCAAATGTTGTGAAGTTAACTTAGTGTTTCATGACGAATATCCCCCCCCAGAGGAAGAAAAACCAATAAGACCAATTCTTTGGTCGTATTTCTCCTGAATTTAGCATTTCGGTCTAACATAGCAATAACTAACCTCGTCTGCAACATCAGCAATGACCGGTATCTCAGTAGTGCATGGCGTTGGACTCGCCGGAGAGTCTGCACCTGGAGAGGCCGGTGATTCAATCTCCATGAATAAGTTTCTAGATGCCTGAAACCATGCAAGTATAATGAACGTAACAACATACAAAGATGTTCACGCTGAGATGTTTCACGCCAGAGCTTCTTCGAAAACAGTCACGAACATTCCCAGTATCTGAATTTTCATCTCTCTCTCTTACGTTTACTGTACATGTCATTTTACAAGTTATTCTTGCACGGAATGTTTCCTGTTGGGACCCGCATAGCACTGGATGAGGAGCGTGCTGCCGGTACAGGATACAGTTTCGTTGGAAAGATTCATATCAATAGGATCGAATTTGATAGGTGCGGAGGGTCGTATTCGCCTTTGAGGGAAATCCTTCCGAGCCGCGACAAAATTTTTTCCGCCGGTTGCTCACTGGACTCTTGGTTTTCCCCCTTTCACTTTCGCTATGTAGCCCTCTCCCTTCCTCTAGTTGACGATACTCCAGAACTAAGCCAGTTACTATTCCTGATAGTTGAGAATTGTAGTTGATTGATGACGACCTTCGCTCCCTCCCCCCTCGACAGCACTTTTTCTATCAGGAACTTCCCGGGAAAGGGATAGGAAAATCGGGAAAAATCAGAGCTTTGATTAGGACTTAAAACAGGGAACGGAGGGGGGGGAGTGTACCAGATGAGGAGCTATTGCGGGAGAGGACGTGCGGTAGCGTGCTGTCATTGCCATTTCACACAAGGTATGTGCTGCCGGTAGGAAAAAAATTTCGCAGAAAACGACCCTCCCCCTCCTCGAAATTCTCTGCTGGTACGACCCCGCCCCTTTCCCATCCCACACCTTACCTACCATCTTTCCAGATGCTCGCAATTTTCGGCAAGGAAGGGGGCACGGTATCGCGCAAGTGGAGCAAAAGCAAAAAAAGTCAGTAACCGAAGGCATTTTTACGCGGACGGTGAAACGAAACAAACCTATTCCCACTCTCCCAAACCCCTAAAAGAACAAGGATAAATTACGGACAGACAAATTGTTACCATCCAACTGATGTTTGAAAATAGTTGACCAAATAGAAATGCTCTATATTTTACTCAGGCAAGATTTTCTGTCAAAATACGACTCAAAGTCCCACTACCAAACCTCGAAGCTCGTTTCATTACTTATTTCACAATTATACTATGTATTGCTATATACTGGATAAATCTTTGGGCCTTTGTTTTAGAATTTTTCAAGTTCGTAGTCTTTGGCTAAGCGGACGACATCGACCTTCAGTTGAAATTAGAAGGGATGCTGAAAAATGTAGTTCTGGTGGCTGAGAACTATGGGAGAAAGGGGTTCACGTATTGAGTAAATCAACTTTCAAGGAAAGGTTATCGTATGGTATACAAATGGTAGGATATGAAACGATTGCAACGGCCAAACTATGATAAATTAACGCGCTCCAAAGAGAAGTGCTTTTCCGAGGTGGTCCTGCAACGATTTTTTGTGTCGCCTGTACGTCAGTACTCGGAGAATCTGTGCTGTTCTCGCTTTGGTTGGTTTGTTTTGACTTTGAAAGCTCATGTTGCGTCGTTTTGTTCTTGAAGATTCTTGTTAGCAATTGTAGAAGACTATTGTGGAAGGGTTCCACGCATGAGGAGGTATGCGCGTGTGGGAGACGCGTTTTTTTGGAGCTTTTTTCTTCGATAATAGTTTTATGGTTGTTTTCAAATGTCTTTTCTGTTACATTCTTCCTAGAACTACTTATCATTGAATTTCTGGGCGCTTCCGTAGTTGGGGGACTACTCGGCAGCTGACTTCTGCCTCCCATCTGATGGATACTCAGGTTTAGTGAACAGAGCAAGTCTTTGGTTAAGGCTCCTCACTGAGGGGAGGGGATGGTCGTGATTGCTGGCTGGGAGGAGAGGGGATCGTATTTGCCTCAAAACATTTCTTTATTTTGTGGGTTGGGAAGCGGTGGGCCCTTCCAGAACAAAAAATTGTGGGTGCGAGGCGGGGGGGGGGACCCCGGGGCCTTTTCTCTGCGATTTAAGTCCAGGCCTTGTTTGGAGAATGGATGCGAAGGCGCAGCTGAGTGGTCCCGCTAAACTACATTAGAGTTCATTTTAATCATTGTATATTCCCTTGTAGAAACTACGGTGCCGATTGCTTGTTACCTTATTTGAGCCAGCTCGTATCATCTTTCTAACTGTCTTCTTTTCTCTGATCTCCTTCATCGCGATTTTCGGAGCGATTCGGCTTGGTGTATTTAATGATACCCGTATAAGAGTGCGTTCATACTTAGCGGCAACGTTTTGAGCGTTTGTCAGCGTTCTGGATGTTTTGAGCGACTAAGAAAGGCGGATATCGATTCAGCGTTTTGAGCTTTCACCAGCGTTTTAGCGATATTCGATGCCGAAAACTATGAACGCGCTCTGAGGCAGCGTTCAGACTTCGCGACAGCAGCGCCTCGGTCGCGAAGTCTGAACGCTGCCTGAGTGCCGACGCCTCCTCTGAAGACCTGTGAATCGTAAAACTATTCAGTAGCAGGGGATCCCTTTACATTTGGCCCAAGTCTACAGGTCTCACCCCTGTGAGATACGTGATACAACAGAAGCTCACAAGGGAAACTAGCGAAAGTGCATGACGCCCCCCCCCCTCTCTACAGCGCTTAATGTTCACTTAATGTGTATTTGTTCGTATTTCCTTTGCAGCGACCATGCTGGCTCTTCGCACTCTCGGTGCCGCTCGTCTTCACTGTGTTCGATATGCATCGGCTTTCCATCCTACTCATGCGGGCAAGGTCTGTTTTCTTCTCCAGTTTTGATCGTGTTTAAAATGATGCTTGTAGAAACCACATTTCAAACAAATCAGCGCCTTTTATGACTTTTTTGTTTGTTATTGTTTTTTATGAGAGTTTTCGATTTGTGGCACATTGCGATCCCGCGCTCATTTCTACTCTTGGACGACCTGAGCTCGCTCTCTTTAATCGCGTTGGTTATCTGCTCTTTCGTCATTCACCTTGTTCTTGGAAGGCAGCGTTCAGACTTCGCGACGGCAGCGCTTGAGTCGCGCGTTCGACGCGATCGATGCAGTCGAAAGCATGCGCATCGATCGCGTCGAACGCGCGACTCAAGCGCTGCCGTCGCGAAGTCTGAACGCTGCCAAAGCCCGTTCTCAGGTCCCCCATGTGTGCTTTCGCACCTTTCAATGCTTTGGAATCTGCGTGACAGTAACTCATCACAGAGCTGTGGAAATAGCGACTTATGATATCTCCCAAAGTCCAAAAGAAACATTCCAGCAAGGAGCTAACCTTCCGCAGTCACCCTCTCGCGGAGTTTCCCTTCGATTCTGTGATCCCTTAGGTATGATAGTAGTTATGATAGCCGAGACTCATTGGTTATGAAGACCATCTGCACTCCCCATGAAGAAATGTAAGCAGGACACCACCATGGAAAATGCTCCTCAGAATAGTGCCCTAGTATGATCCCAAACATGTGAGCCTTTAGCCCTCTGTCATGAACATTCGACAGGCGAAAATAGCGCCCATGAGCAGATGCGTACCCGGTCTCCTTCAAAGGAAAAATGTTCCATCGCCATCGTTTCTTGGAGAATGACGGTGTCGGTACCCCTCCCTCTTCATTTAGGGTCACAGACGAGTTTTCATGATTTGCGCAACCATAATCTTTCATACCTGGCCGTTTGCGTTTCAGAAGCAGCGTTCGACTTAAGAAAACTCCCTCTTCAAAACACTTCACTTCTTTGTAACATTGGTGGTCCAGAAATTTTTCGCTCTGTTGTTGTTGTGAAGGATTGTGAGTCACTCAGGGAACTCACTGCGCCGACACCATAGGCCTTACGATCCGTTTGAAGATTCAAGAATGCTTCTAGAGAACGTCTTGTTGCATAAACGGAGTGCAATAATTCATCTGGCCTCGGTTGTTCCCACCTCTGTATTGTAGCATGCACTTCTGTAGCTGTCGAATGATTTAACTTCCACACAGTGCTTGCCCGTGTATACAGATGGGTTCCCAGTGCTCAGAAGTGTCGAAAATTTCACTATGCTTAGCTTGATCCTGTGCTGAATGATCCCTGCTCTACGACGTTCCCCCTACCTTGCGGTCAAATACGATCGCCGTTCATGTGATTCCCGTAGCGCTGCTGTGTTCTAAGTATCACTCATAGTAACCATGCACTCATCCTGATTGGTAATTTTAGGATAATCGTTCATGCATAGAACACTTTTAGAGTCTCCGTAGAACCAACGACGTTTTCACTAGCCTGATTGCTTAGGTCTTTCCGTCTTTTACCATGTAGACATTCCCCTGCGCACACTTTATTTGGGGGGCTGACACTTGCATTAAAAAAACTTTTGGGGCGCATTAATAATTTGCCATTCACATACCTTTTTGATCAAGAAATGGCCAAACTGATGCTCATCTCATCGGCTTCACCTTTACCTGTTCGGACACTATGCTGCTGAAGCGGAGGGATGTAACAGGATTAAGACCAAGAAAGAGGAGCACGCACACACATTTATACATTCCTCATGGGGCCGCCATCACTCGAAGGTTCCCTTTTTGTGAGCAGTCTTGCAACGCAGCCCTTCAACTAGAGTAGCGCCCATATGTAATTGTTCATGTAGTTCGCCTCGTTTTCTTTTCTGCATCCTGATTCTAGCCAGGCTTATTCATTACTACTGTATTTTTTTATATACATTCAGCATTAAATTAGGCACAACACAGGATTTGGACTGGTTTTATGCGATTCGTAACAGTGAAAGATTGATTCTAATGTCTCTTTTTAAGACGCCTCCATCCCTTGAAGAGTTCGACCCTCTCAATCCTGGAGAATGGCAGCTTGGAGTGAGTTCCTTTGAAGTTCTTACCGTTCTTTCATTTATGCATGACACTGTTTCTCAGTGCAAACACAATTTGGTAGGGGGGATGGAAAAGCAAATTGACCTCTGTCCCCTCTCCAAGATTAAGGATAGTGGATCTCAGACGGCTATAGTCTGCTGTATTACCATTTGGGCAGGGGTCTCGCAGGGCAGACATAGTCCCTTAGGCCTCCGAACCATGTTAGCGCCGTTTCTTCAAGGCATTTTGTTTTTTTTTCGATTTATTGCTTTTTCATTTTATCTGTAGTTCTTTCTCATGATAAGTTTCAAATAGTTGTAAACCAGCTACAAATAAATAAATAAATATATATATATATATATATATATATATATATATATATATATATATATATATATATATATATATATATATATATATATATATATATATATATATATATATATATATATATATATATATATATATATATATATATATATATATATATATCTGGAAAATGTAGTTGAGGTTTGCTAACAAAACGATTATGTTCAGGCTGGTGGAAAAATCCTCCCCCGACTTCCTGAGGGAACAAGAGTGGGCAAGCTCGTGATGGGCAAGTATGGGCTGTACGATCCCCAGTTGAGAAAGAGAGTTGAAGTTTACTCGGTGGGTACTGCACACTTCATATTCTATTTTTTGCTTTATACATTTATACATCCTTTGCTTGTAGAAAGCTCTTCTTGATGGAAAGAAGTCCGAAGAGGCCGGTCCGTTCGATCGAGCCATGACAAGAAATGGTGAAGATTCCTCGGTATGTATTCATTTCTGAACATGTAGAACGTGCATTTGGCCCGATTTTGTCGCAATTCAGGTACCATCTGCCTCTTCATGGGACTCTATAACCTTTTCACGCTTGCATATGGAAAATTGCTGCCACCTTATACATACTTGAAGGAGCCCAAGCAGTAGAAGATTGTGGTTGTAGATTGTTCGTAGATAAATATTTCTATGTACTGAATTTTTGAATAGGGTTGATTGTAGTGCAGGTGGATCCTTGCGTTATTGGATCAATGAAGGATTTATTGTCGTTCGATTTCCTTTAAGCTAATGCTCTAGTAGTGAGAGCCGTCTATATTTGCCGCGTTTCCGCAGTGTGGACCAGTAGCACGAAAGTTTCCGGTTAGGTCATATTTCAGTCCCGAATGCAAGTAGGTAGCCTGCTATCCTATTGAGGCGCGTTCATACATTGCGAATGTGAAGAATCTGGAGTTCAGTAGACGCCGCGAGTCTCGAGGAGTCTTGTAATTTTCTATGTGTCCTCTTGGTTGAGTCTGGAGAAAACAATACCAGGGAAGTGGCTTAGGTGTGAATGAATGGTAATGGCTCCGGCCACCACCAAGTCGGCCTTCTCGCCAACGGGCCGCATCGTCGATGTCGAACAAACACCAGTTGGGTCGCACCTTGCCCGAACTTCGTTTTATTCTTGGTTTTCTTTTCTTTTTCTTATTTTTTTCTATGTATTCCCACTTGAAGGCAATGATTCGGGAAATTTGGTGAGTAGTGGGTAGAAGGCTTAAAGGCAGTTGGCACGATGGTTTCCTACTTAGCCTAAAATGCTAGTAGGGCGCTGTATAGTGGGGAAATGGCGAAAGAACGGAGTGAAACGGTCAAAATCCTGCGAAGAAAAAGCCTCCGTTCTCAGTGACTTGTAAATCGATTTCGGACGAGTTTCCCGTAGGCATCTTACCAATCACCGCTACCGAAGATACGGCTGCATATGTGTACCCATACATCCTTGCATACCAATCTCTTCGCTTCATATTTTACTTAGCAAATGAAGCAATACGAGCGTCAGGAACGGTCGTCCATTTGTGGGCGGGCGGGCGTGGCGGGCGTTTGGGACGTAAAGTTGTGGCTTGATAGGGCCCTTATAAGGGCACCTTCCTCGGGGAAACCGCTATGCAGCGCCTGCCCAGGGTCGCGGAATTCTATCCTGCCAGGAGTATTGATCCTAGTCGTCTTGGGGGATTTATCGTGCCTTTAAGTTGTCGCCGTTCATCTACCCCATTTTGGAATGAGGCATGCATGCTATTTCATTCAGAAACGCGTCTGCTTATTGAATGCGATGAGGCCTTTACAGTGACTTCCGGGCCATGTACAAGATAGTGTTCCTATCTCCCTAGACGAAAAAGGTACCGTCCCGGAGGAGTAGAGCTCTTGATTAGTCTAGGCGAGCTTTGAACCTTACAGCATGCGCGTGATGAGTAATTGGGCTTCTTGGCACCACCTTTTTGGTATGTACATGAGAACATGCTCCTCACGTCCGTTGTCGTACCAAGGGAAGAACTGTGCCGGCTAGCGGCTCGCGTAACATTCAGTCGTGACTTTCAACCAGCATATGCTCAGCTTTTGCTCAAAGACACGCACCGGGTTTATTTGATGCTCAGGCGCCTTCGTTGGAGATGGTGGTCCTGCCTGTAAGCATGAAGAGCTGGTTTTGTACTACTTTTGCAGCTCAAATCACATGAAAGCGCCGCTCGCGCGCGACGGGGGCACGGCTCTGCTCACTGGCCAAGGCGACGTCTAACTTGCGTTTTTCACTGCTGCTTGGTGAAGTTGCTCCGCTTCTAGCTCTCTCCATTCCGAATAGTGAGAGTAAGGTGACAGGGAAGAACAGGTGGCACCGACGAATGAGAACTCGTCCGACCAGGCCCCTTCTTTGCCTTATGCACATACAGGCGCGGTTCAGCATGGGGTTCTATCTGAGACATTTTAGACGGGCTTTTTCGCAACTTCTTTGCTGCAGGATCACCTTCTACCTTTTCATCTATGATCAAGCCACACAACTCCCATTTTTGAACTTGGGTGTGGCTTTGAGTCAAAACTTAATTGGATTTAATTATGGCACAATGCAGAAGAGGTTGTTATGGCTTCCATTCTGATCGGTAGGAATGTGTCTCGGCTTTGTAACTCTCGTTCTGACTCGGTCTTAGATAGCTCATCTTTGAAACTACGTCATATCGTACTTCATTAACCTGTCCGTGCGTTACCATCATAAACTTGATTGATAGATGCTGACTAATTATTAACTATAGGGAGCATCAGATGTTCACATCATTCAGGACGAAAATGAGGTTAGGACAGTCACTGGCGACAGAAAATGACGTTAACAACACTTACGAATTCGCAGTCGAAGCAAGAGCAGCTGAACCTCTGAAGATTGTTCCATACTACATGGTCAGACATGCTCTGTCAAGCGAATTGTGAGTCTTCTTCTTCTCTCACCAGAGGAAGTCCGCCAGCTTACCATGGAACTTTGAATGAGACCTAGGTATTATAGACCT